TAATATTAAAATCACTAGCCAATATATTTAATTTACTAGAACCAAGGAATGCCTCGAGCCAGTTCTCTAAAACTTCAACAAAACGCTTGTCACTAGAACTGGGAGAATATTACAAAACACCATAATTACCCATCTTCATGCCACGTACAACTGTAATGCCCAAGAACCAGTTGCCATCAATAATTTCGTTTTTACGAAGGTTGAATTGAACTGATTCATTGACATAAATAGCAACACCGCCAGAGTGTCTGGAATGTGATAAACAAGCAGCAACAATATATCCCGGAATACTATACTGATCAAAAGCTTCAGTTTTTACAATATGAGTTTCAGATAAGAAATCTAAAAGAGGACGTTTTTCCTCAACAATCTAACGTAATGCTACGTAGTTTGTTGACAACCCCGCAATATTTAAGTATGAAAAAATTGAATTGTTTCACATTCCTGGAACTTGGCTGCTATTCATTGAAACGGAAGCTGCTTTTCTTCTGATCAAAAAGTCTTCTATAGAGCAAACATTCCGAGCTAAATGCGGCATGGTTGACGTCCAAGTTCATTTTTCGTTCTTTATTCATTTTCAAACAATTAATACCTTTCAATACAGTTGACGTACACTCCGACGTTTTGTGTTGTTGGCTGCACCTAGAGCATCTATCACAATTTTTGCAATCCATGCTCTTGTGTCCAAATTCTCCACATTTGAAGCATCTCAACACATTAATCGCGGGAACTATCGAGCACCGATCAAACCCTACATTTACTTTTTTCGCACATAACAAACATTTATACGTATCGACATCGACTTCAATTACAACACTAAACTTGTTTAAGTGAAGCGTGGATTTTCATTACTTTAACATCATTAATAGCGATGTCTTCATTTTGACTTTTTAAGTAGTCAATGAAGACATCGGAGGAAAACTGATCGCTCATGCCCACTATTTTCAATCTTGGCACCGAAGTGGGAACAACAGCATTATATTTTTCACCCAGATTGCTTTCAATACCAGTTTTTACATCATTTAGATTAGCTCCTGTTGCACACTCAACAACAATAGAGCCATCTTTACCATTCCTAAAATTACTGATTTTGTGTGTTTTTGGATCCAACTGAGTTTTCAAAAACTTACGAGTATCTACGATTACTCTGGTTGTTACTGTTACTGTTAATGTTACTGTTACTGTTAATGTTACTGTTACTGTTACTGTTTATGTTACTGTTACTGTTAATGTTACTGTTACTGTTACTAATATGCTTTCCCATTGACATGAACTAGGGGCAAGTTACACTTAAGGCCGTTCCTATGAAATCAGTGTTGTGCAACGGCCGACGAGCCGCGAGCAGAACACTTTACGTTTGGACATTAGTTCCGCACCAAGGGGTAGAAGTTGTTCCACTCTTGTCGCGTCTTTGGTGGACATTTATTCCACATTACTGCTTCTTGATGCGAGTCAACAACGTTTTTCACCGCTCAGGTGATTCTAAATCGTATACACAATCAAAAGTAATTTTTTTTCGTCTACGAACATCATAAGATCAGAATTTCCAAGCCATCCTTGTCATATATTTTTTTAACATTAAACATTATGCTGGAAATCACTTCCGAGGCAACCAAGAGTCCTCTGAGCTGAGCGTTTGATACATGATAAGTCAGATACGTGAACGACACTCACACATGCTTTTCTGGTGGCCCCTCGCACCATGAAGTCATCTCCGTTTCATGTTCCGGAAGGGTCCAGCTTTTTAAATGGAATTAAAATAACACGCTTCTGCTTTTGGCGCTGCTGCTGTTGGTGCTGTTGCTTTCGCAGGACGACACAGGATATGTTGCTCGAGGCTGCTCCGTTTCACGGTCTCCTGTTACCCCCTCCGGTGCGCGGATTCACTCCTTGGAGTCGTAATATAATCGAAAAACATTTTCGACATTGTCCGGATGTTTTTCACGTTCTTCCGATCGTTGCTGCGCTGCTGGGTTCCACTTTGCGACGGGACGAGTTCTCCCCCTTAAAGTGGATGATGTGTTTCGAACCGAGAGAAATTCCTTGCACACACGTACATTCTTCGGTCGTCGTCGTCGTCATCATCGCCGGCCTTCAAGACCGGAATGTGCGAACTCGCTTGTTTCGGATATATAGGAGATGTATTCGATGAGAAATTCCTTCCCCGAGCAGCATAGTGGACAAACTGGATCAGATGGTTCAGGCTTTAAACTTAAAGTTGTATATTCCACCGTTCCTCGTTGGATGTGCTCCTGAGCGCTGGAAGTTTTGGAGTATATGAGCATGTTAGAAAGTCACCCAGCATTGCAAGAGCATAATACATAAAAGTGCTTTAGAAGAACAGGGAAACTGATAGCGTAAGATGAGCTGCAGAGCTTTTACTATTTTGTCCGAACTCTAGCTCAATCTCCTCCCGAAGGTGAAAGTGGTTGAAAGCGAAGTTCCACGCTGAAAAGAAAATCGTCACATCACCGTGCTTTGCAGCGAGATGAGGACGGGAGAATGCAATGAGATACAGAGTAGGAAGACTGAAACACGATGTTAGCATTGCGAACCTCCTCGTGATGCTCCACCCAAGCTTTGCTAGAGACTATGCATGGTCTCCGTACCGACGGCCAATCTGGTCAGGTTTTGTAGATACGTTTGAATCTGTGCTCTTTTGTAGAAGGTTAAAAATGGAACGCTTTATGTACAATTCCCACGCGGCACAATGATGCAGAACTTTGTCTCTCACTGTATAAAGAAGCTTGAATTTGGGCTTCTGCTTCTATCTGTTTTAATGACATTACAATCTTTTTGCTGAATTACTTCTATTTCTACCTATTAACGTGATACATTTGTTGTTACATTTCAATTTATTTAACTAATCAAGAATTATTAATCTTTGATTCATGGCTTCTTAATTTGCTACATGTTTTCGCTTCAGAGGCATAATTTTATTGAATTTTAAAAAAATGGTGGTGTTGTATACAAGACACGACCGCAGGGTTGCGTAGACTACGTTAAGCTGTGTAGTGAATTTCTCGTGCGATTTTCTAGATATTGATTTAAAATACTGTAGAAGTAACCTATGACTTCGGTCCTATGTACATATTTGGGATTTCCTACTTAGTAAAACTTGATTGAATTCAGGGCCTCATAAAAATGCGACTACATATTCTATTTCATTTGGTTCCTAAATTACAATCAGATATGAGTAAGGCTTTCTTCTGGTGATTCATTGAAGCGTCCAACAATGACCGTCATGATGGCTGATATTCCCTATCACTTCAAGATTTCTAGGACATAAATCTTGGATGGTTGTGACATCACTCATGAAATTGAAACTCCTTGTGTACTGGACTGCAACAAACGTGAAGTTCCAGTTTCTTTGTTATAAGTTTTGTGAGAGCTGATATCTGTACTCTTGAAATTTTTCTATGGCAATGAGACTGATCCTCAGCGATTCAACTTCAAAACGCTAAAAATAAATGCACACACAAAAACGGAGTGCACAATTTTGCATCAATGTTATGCAAAATTTCATAGTTGATCGAGATGATATCAATTAGCCATGAATCCCTCAAATAAGTTCTAGGTACATCTTTTATCTACCGATTGAACAAATAAAAAAAATACTAAGGCTATGTTCCATTAGGAAAATTTGCACTTAGATTTGACACTTCGAAAATAAATTAAGATGTTCAAAAATCCCTCTATTGTACATCGGCCGATTTTCGATTCCTTGTCTGTCAGAAATAAGTCCGCTGGAATCGCAGGTTTATTTGAAAATTTTCCATCTATCAAATTTAAGTAAAAATTCACCAAATGGAACATAGCCTTAATAACTTGAGCAATGAACCGTTTCTTGTTGTGTGTGTCGTATTAGATGCTAGATAAAAACTTCTTTTATCGATATGTGTGCTGAAAATACCTGGGCCGTCGACGAAGAGAATCTTGTCAATGTCCAGCCCAAGGCTGAAAGTCTCTTTAATAAAGAAAAAAAAAGAATCTTGTCAGTGTTACTTAGGACCTAATGCAATGTTTAACTTGAATTAATCATTTCTTCCGACCACTTTCCACAGAGATGGTGCTGTTCTGCTGGTAGGAAGTGTTAAAAATCCCCATATAGAAATTGAGAGAAGGGGGAATAATTCGCTTTCGGTGCAGTTAAAAAAAAACTACAAGAGACAGCCCTATGGGGTTGTACGCAATGGTGACGTAGGACTACGTGGTCTTATATAATAAATGGTAATTTGTATCTTTATTCAGCCAGGTATTAATCTGAACCATATTTTAATTATTTTCCTTACCTCATTTTTATATTTTCATTTTCTGTTCTAATTACTATCGAACCGATTTGTCTGGAATCTGATGAAATATTGCTTGGAGCCAATGCCCATGATTGCGCTGGGTAATTAAAATTTTTATTCAACAGATTGCGTTCAACGTATCCACATCGTATAATGGCCCCATCAAGCAGACCGCTCGTAAGTCCACCGGAGGAAAGGCTCCTCTCAAACAGATGGCCAGATGGATGAGTGAAGACGTCTCATCGCTACCGGCCAGGAACTGTCGCTCTGCGTGAGATCCGTCGTTACCAGAAATCGACCGAGCTGCTGACTGCAAGTTGCCTTTCAAGCGATTGGTCCGTGAAATCGCCCAGGACTTCAAGACTGATCTGCGCTTCCATAGCTCGGCCGTTAATGGCCCTACAGGAATTTAGCGAGGCCTATCTGGTCGGTCTGTTCGCCATCCATGCCAAGCGTGTCACAATTAATTCATGTTCCATTTTCGGTTTTCACAATGTGTACCACTGTACGGTCGTGTCATGGATACAACCCCTTATTCTTTTTGTCAACATTATTTTCATAAGACAAATCAACTGATTTCTTTTCGCGAACTTTGCTAACGCTGCTTTCAAACATTTAAAAGTTCAATAAATCATCAAAACCTCTTTCACGTTGGAAATCGATTGGTGGCCCTGAAAAGGGCCGATTGATTGTTTGGATGGTACGAATTTACTTGAAGCTAGTGTACTTGGTGACGGCCTTGGTTCCCTCAGAGACAGCGTGCTTGGCCAACTCACCCGGCAGCAGCAGACGAACAGCAGTTTGGATTTCGCGGGAGGTTTCAAGAATTAATTCATCAAAAGAGATGAGATTCATTTCGCGGGAGGTGATCGTCGAGCGTTTGTTGTATTGAGCCAGACGGGACGACTCAGCAGCAATACGTTCGAAGATGTCATTGACGAAGCTGTTCATGATGCTCATGGCCTTCGACGAGACTCCGGTGTCTGGGTGGACCTGCTTCAACACTTTGTAGATGTAGATGGCATAGCTTTCTTTCCTGCGCTGTCTCCTCTTCTTCTTCTCTCCCTTGACGATGACTTTCTGCGCCTTTCCGGACTTCTTGACGGCCTTTCCACTGGTTTTCGGTGCCATAATTTAGCTGTTCGCTTCGGTAAAGAATAACTGATTGTCCTTTTTTTTTTACTTTTAATGATCTATATTTCTTGAATTTGTGTGGTTTACATGTATTACATATCAAGTGACACAGGCGCGTCTTTTCAACTTTAGTTCCTTTGAGATTTCAATTATTATTAATTACAGTTTCTAGTCCTATCAGGCCTGTTATAACAATGACCACCTTGGTGGGATTGGTTAGTTTTAAATTTGAAAAAGGAGACTACTTATAACTACTATTTACAACTACAACTACTATATACACCTAACCTACTATATACAAATTGCTTATCAAAGCATGTTCTGATAGATTACATTTTTGTGCAAATTTAGTCTTAATTTCGTTAATTCTGGAATCTATTTTGGCAATGCCTGCCTCTTCATGTAAATCTGTTATTCTAGTGTCGAAAGGACGATCAAGAACCATCCTCCGCACTCTATTCTGAGCGACTTGAACTTTGTTTTTGTGAGTCTGTGCACATGATTCCCACACCGGAGCTGCGTAGAGGATCGCAGGTGCTATGATTTGTTTGTAGACGGCCAGTTTGTTTACCCTTGAGAGGCGGGATCTGCGGCAAATCAGCGGATACAGACACCTAACCAAGACAGAACACTTGATTACGGTTTTCTCCACATGCGAACGGAAGAGGAGCTTTTCATCGAACAACATCCCGAGATAGGTTACTTCGGCGGACCACTCAACCCTTGTGCCATCCATGATTACAGTACAAGATGGAGCCGGTTTTAGTTTGGGCGATTGCCGATGGAGGAACATGATCGTTTGTGTTTTGGAGGCATTGATTTTGATTTTCCACGTGGTGGCATAATCAGCAAAGGCGTTAAGGCATCGTTGAAGTTTGTTCGTTATTTCGCGAGGCATCCTTCCTTTGACGGCTATTGCGGTATCATCTGCGAATAGGAAGAACACGCAACCGTCTAGGGGAGGAATGTCTGAAGTGTAGATGCTGTAAAGTAAAGGGCCCAACAGACTTCCTTGTGGAACTCCTGCTGAGTTGGAAAACGTGTTTGAAAGGCAGCCATTCAACGATACCTTGAACGACCTTTGCTGAAGGTAGTTACGGGTGATTTTAACAAGATGCAAAGGAAAGTTGAAGTTACAAAGCTTGTACACAAGTCCATCATGCCAAACATTGTCAAACGCCTTTTCAACGTCTAACAAGGCCATGGCTGTGGACTTGGATACAGCTTTGTTACTTCGGATGTTATTCATCACCCGTACTAGCTGGTGATTGGTGGAGTGCCCCTTTCTGAACCCAAACTGTTCCGGAAGGAGAATGTTATTTTCCTCGACAAACTTGAGCAAACGATTGAGAACGAGTTTTTCGAACAATTTGCTCAGCGCTGAAAGGAGGCTGATTGGTCTGTAGCTTGAAGACAATGTTGGATCCTTACCGGGTTTGCGGATTGGTATGATTTTTGCTACTTTCCAGATGCTTGGAAAGTAGTGCAGTTCCAAACATCTGTTGAAGATAGCGGTTAGAAGAGACTGCACTTTCATGCTGAGTCTCTTCAAGATCAAGTTGAATATACCGTCAAACCCGGGAGCCTTCATGTTCTTGGTGCATTTCAGCGCTGAGCAAATCTGTTGTACTGTAATCATATCCGCCGGAGGCACGACACAAGGGGAGGTATCTAGGTTTTGAACGCATTGCGCTACCTGATCATCGAGCGGACTTTGGATAGTCGAGCCAAGCAAATGCGATGAAGCTACATGCTCGCCGATCGCATTTGCTTTCTCCTGTGGGGTGATTAAAAGCCGATCGTCATCATTTTCGACTTTGAGAGGTGGAACGGGTTTGGGATGATTTTTCAGGACCTTGGCTACCTTCCAGAATGGTCTGGAGCGGTCATCCAGATTCTGGACAACACGCCCGAAACTTTCATTTCGGAGTGAGTCCATTCTGGAAGCAATCTGCCTATTCAGATCGGCCATTTCACGTTTTTTACCCAGGTCTCCAGTCCTCTGAAACTGGCGTCTACGAACATTTCTCAACCGAATCAGTAATTGGGTGTGGGAATCAATAGCAACAAACTTACCCCTCACAGGAACTTGTCGAACGTATGCCTCGTCAGCCATGGATATGGCCTGTTGGAGCCCTTCTAACGTCCGGTCGATGTCATCTACGGTGTTGAGCAGTGGATTTTCATCGATGTTGCTGTCCACCATTCGTCCGTACTGCACCCAGTTGACATGGTGGTAGTCTTTACGCAGGCAGCTTCTAGCAGGAACCACGTTGACACCGACTTCAGTCACCACCGGTTGGTGGTCGGAGCTGAGATCGTTGTGCGCCTCCGGCTTGGATAGTCCGATGTTTGACAGGAAAAAGTCCAGCGTGGAGGGATTTCCCGCCGGAGAGATGAAAGTTGGTTCGTCCGGAAATTGCACAGTGTACAATCCATGTTGTGCGTGGTCGAACAATAGACATCCGTTCCGGTTCCTCTGGTAGTTCCGCCAAGCTTCATGGCGGGCGTTCAGATCGCCCCCAACGATGAATCGGGAGCTAGTACGGGTGATGGCGGTCAGGTCCTTCTTGAATTGGATTCCTAATCCGTTGCTTGCGGTACACTGGCGTGGGCAGTAAACAGCGATGAACCGGACGTTTCCAGTTGGTGATTCCACCTCCACACTAATGGCCTCGATGATAGAAGTGCGGATGTGGGGCAGAGTGCAAAACTTGATTCCCTTTCTGACGATGACCGCTACACCACCCCCCCTGGAGCTGGTGCGATCAAGCCGGATAATGTTGTGGTCAGGCAACCAGAAGCTGTCACCGGACTTTAGGTGGGTCTCAGTTAGAAGAACCACGTCGATGCTATGCTTGCGGAGGAAGTCGGCAAGCTCAATATGTTTTGCTCTTACAGAGCAAGCGTCCCAGGTAGCGATGGTTAGCGGTTTAGACACCATACTGGATGATGAACTTACCGAGCACTTGGATCTGTTCGGGCTTATTGCGGCACTTACGTAGAGCACCGGTCATGTTGACGAAAATTTCCATCAGTTCATCCGCTGAAAACAGATCGGGGTTGTTGTTTTGCGCTGGTGGTTGTCTCCAGAATCCAGGGGGGATGGAGAGCTTTGGCCAGCAGAATCACCAGAAGTTGCTTGAACGGAATGCACCCGCGAATTCGCTTGCCTTTGCTGAGGAGCACGAAGAGGTGGGAAATCCTCCGTCCGAAATGCCGGGACTTTGTCCTTCTTGCGTCCTGGTTGGCTGTTAGCTGCCGCCTGTTTTCGGATCCGTTTGAAGTCCTCGCGTTTGGAGCACTGTCTGTCGGAACCTTGGTGAGCACCACCACAGTTGGCGCATTTTAACACCACAGCTCCATCCGCAGGGCAGTCGGAAGTGGCGTGGTCTTGAGCGCAATTGCCGCAGCGTGGCTTAATGTTGCAGTTGCGGGTGCCGTGTCCAAAGTTCAGACACCGTTGGCACTGAGTCACATCGCGATGGCCGCCACGGTATGACTCCCAGCGGACAATGATGCAATTGATGGAGCGGATGGCTTTCAGCGCGTTGAGTGTCACCGTTCCCTTCTGGAAGTGTACCAGGAAAAGGCTATCCGGATACGCCTTCACATTCTCGTCTCTTCTTGTCATCCGATAGACGGCACTTGGGGCCAGCTTGTACCGGTCCCTGATTTCAGCTTCGATAAACTTCGGGTCGAAGTTTGGTTGGCCCCTGATGACGACCTTGAATGGTTTCTCACCGGGAATGTCGTGGGTGAAGAATTCCACCTTGGAAGTCCTCAGGTGGGCGACGACCAAGTCATACTCCGCTTTGGTACGGAGCACCACCTTGGTGCCGACTCTGCCCAACTTGTATTCGGCTTTAACGCCCAGCGTCGCTAGATCCGCGATGAGCTCATTAAGATGAGCATTTTTCACTACCAACGGAGGTAGCTTCACTTTTGCCGCACTCGGGCCGGCAGAATTTTCGTTGTCGATGGCGTCGCCGAAATCACCGATGTCGCTGGCGTTCGTTGCTGTGACGTCATCACGTCCACTCGCACCATCGGACTGGCCTTGGTTTTTCTTCCTCTTCTTGGATCGCTTCACCGTGGCGGTGGTGGTATTTCCAACATCGGTGGGAAGAGTAGCGTACCTATTTGAAATAGGTACACTCGTGCTACACTCACCACTGTTCTTCTCCGCTTTCTCACGGAGCCTGCTCCGGGAGCGCTGTCTTCCCATCACACGATGCGACCGACACTACTGACGACGCGAATAAACGTTTGGAATAAGCTATCGAACAACTCGACAGAGCGAGCAATATCGGACTGAACTGCTTGACGAACAAGCAGAGAATGCTGAGCTGATACCAGACAGCAGCGCTGCTTTATATTTGTTTAGGTTAAAGCAGAATAATGTGCAACCAAGTGGTATAAAAGCTACAAAGACTACAACTAGCGACACTGGCTATTTTCTTTTTGAATGAACGGCGAATGAGAACGACCCAAATTTGAGTTTAGTTCACTCATAATCGCCAAAAGTGTAGGAACTCAGCGATGAGTAAATTTGTCTCATGATTTCGTGTGGAAAACCTAAAAAATCTGCCAGAAAATGAGGAAATTGACGAAAATTTTATTCAGTCTCGGAGTAGTACTAATAGACTGAGTGAATCCAATCTTTACTTTTCTCAAATTCGGGAATTTTTCCCTGGAAAATCCTGGAAAAACCTGGGAAAAAATAAGGCAAACTTACTCATCGCTGAGTTCCTGCACTTTATTTCTTATTTCTGAGATAAATAAACTCAAATTTGGGTCGTTCTCATTCGCCGTGATATCACCTTGAAAGATATCGGCGCCGGTGGTTAGCGTGATTACCTCTCACCCCAGCAGGCCTGGGTCCAATCTCAGTCGGCGCCACCGGCATGTTCTAAGGCATAACATCTCTGGGAGCTGCCTCCCTGGCGTCGGTAGCATTACAGCTCAGTACGGAAAACAAATCTCGCGTCACTTTT